TAATTGTGATAATTTTGAATAAAAATAATAATTTATTTTTTATATTATATTTTTAATAAAATTTTAAAATATTTCATATTTATTTTATTTAACTAATGCAGATGAAAAAATAATACAGAAATATATATAAAATACATTCTTTTACTTTTTCCAAATTCATATTTCTAAATAGAAATTATTGCATTTTTAAGCTTTATTTAATACTATTAAAGTAATGTAAAAAATATGTTAAAATTACTATAAAAAAATTCAATATGAATCAATATTTTAAGTTAAGAGATTCAGTTACAATAAAAATAAAACTAAAACTAGATTGTATCGTTAGCAAATTTGTATTATATTTTGTAAAATTTATAAATATTAATATTTTATTTAATTATCTATATTTTTATTTTAAACTAATAATTAAATAATTTTTCTAATAAAAACATTCATCAATTATGTGATACCTATGTATCATTTGTAATATAATAAAATATAGTCTTTAAACGATAATATATGAAATGATAATTTGATTTAAATTTATAATTTTTTATTAAAAAATAAATTTATTAACAATCTAATTAAATAATAATTAATTATTTTTAATTTTAGTTATCAGCTAAATATACAATATTTTACTTTGAGTAATTAATATTTATGATTGTATTTATTGGGTGTATCTATCAATTAATAATGTCAAATTCAACATCACTCAGACATATTATATTATTCATAAAAATTAGGTTAAGGTCAGTCAGCTCTATCTTCTCTTGAATTTACAAATTAAAATATTTTGTACACGCACATTAATATTAAAATATAAATAACAAATTATAGATAAAGTATTAAATTGGATTCGGACAAGCTCTCTGACTCTGAGCTTGAACCCAACCTACCCAGGTACAACAAATAAAAAAAGAATATGATAAACATTAGTTCAATTTTAACTAAAATCATAATAAATTTAAACTGTTTAGTTTAGATTTATTGTAACGGCCTCAGAAATTTAAAATAAAATATGTATATTAAAAATGTCAAATGCGGAAGCGTAATAAAAATTTTGATTAACATCTCTTATACTAAAACAAAAAACGTGCTCAAAATATAAAATAACAAACTAATTAAAATAGATACTCGAAAATAAGAACTATAAATATAACTACGGAGTCCTTAGGCGTCCCCTTCGCCGTCTTCCTGCGAAACGGGCTCCGGAACAACGTCTTCCTGATATGAAATGGTTAAATAAGGAGTGAGCTACAGCAGCCCAGTAAAGACATCACACTATCGTACCGCCACGGAAGTAAAGGTGGGTAGAAAACACAAAAGACCAATGGAGCATGATTTATAATAAACTCCTTTATTAACATAAAAACATTTACTGTCCACTTACGTCGGTGAGATTCATAAAACAACATATAAAAGCAATAACATTATCATCATCATGAAATCATATGAACTGTATAACAAAATACTTACCACGTCTTTGCATCTCAATCATTAAACAATACATTTTCCTCATTTACCAGCCTACTAGTATCCATGGGGATCCCTAGGGGTCCCACTACCCGTGAACCCTTAACATTTATAACCTGATTCCAGAGCCGTCTCCATACCCCGTCCGGTATGGGCGCCAAAACCATGAACCTCAATACCCCGTCCGGTATGAAGATGAAACGAGCCGTCCCCATACCCCGTCCGGTATGGGCGCCAAAACACAGAAGGTCTCCATATCCCGTCCGGTATGAGAAACCACATTTCTGGTGGGGTTCCCTACGGACCCGGTCCGTCCACCATCTCCCAGGATATCTAGTCAGGCTGTCCACATTATCCATTTATCAATTCACATAACATTTTATTCATTTTTTTTCCTCAGTCACCATCATCAAATCACACACAAACATGCAAACCAATAGTTTATGCCAAACAAGACAACACAATACAGTGGGTTCTCAGTCATTCAACCCATAATTAATAGAACAGTGATATATGCACACGAAACTATGAAATGAAAACATTAGACATCATACTGCATTTAAAACTGTAAAATAGAACAAACAACAATTGACCGACAAATACACCAGACTCGGGCTCCATTGGCGTCCTTAAACAATTTCAGACATCTACTGATTCATGAAATACTGTTTTATCATTTATTGAACTTTAATACTGTGATAGGAAATAGGGTGAGGGGTCCTTACTTGTTTCGGGGTCTGAATACGGCTCTACAGTGCGCCTACAGGCTGTCCCTAATTTTTCCTAAATTTTTTTCGGGGAGCTGAAACGCACTACTAGTACCTGCACGTATCCCAAAAAAATTCCAAATTAGACCTAGGGCCCCTTTCGGTCAATATCGCAATTCCGGCACAGCGGCTCCGCCGTGCTCCGGCAACGGCGCCGCTGTTTGTGGTGGCGATTCGCCTCGAGTTGGCCGTTTTCGGTCGAATTCGGCCACGCTTGCATCGGTCCCTGTGATAAAACAACCCTAGGGCCCTCGGTGGGCCGAAAAATCACGAAAAACTGAAACTTACTGGCGACGGTGCTCTCGGGTGCGGCGGCTCCTTAGGCGTGAGTCGCGTTTTGATGTTTGGCTCCGATCAACCTGTAGAGAAAAGAACGGTGATCACAGTGGTATAAAATTTGCATCAAACGGAGGCCGGGAAGGGCCTCATCGGAGGAAAAAACCGAGGAGGGGCGCGGCGACGCCGCTGGGTTTCGGCTGAGTTTTCCGGCTGTTTGGCCGGTGGTTTGGCTCCGGTTTGGCCATAGGCGGACTCAGCGTCGAAAAATGAGCAAGGGGGAGAAAAATTACCTCGATCGGCGGTCGGAAACTTCCCCGGTGCGGCGGCGAGTGGCGGCGGCCGGCTCCTCCGGCGTCTGGTTCTTCTTCTCCAGCGAGCACTGGCGGCTAGGGTTTTTTTGGTCAGGTGTGGGTGGGGGTATTTATACCCTTTGCCTTTTAATCTTGACCGTCCATCAAGATTGAATATGGGCCATTAGATCACGATTTAATTGGGATTAAATCTGGACCGTTCATCGCGATGCAATCTGGGCCATCCGTGCGCATGAATCTGGGCCGTTCGTGCGCGTGAATCTGGGCCGTCCGTGCGCACGTTTGATCTGGGCCGTCCGTGCGCGCAGGAACAGATCTGGACCGTCCGATCACGCGCACGCAGATCGCCCCCGTGGCCCGTCCCCTGGTCAACGTGTCCTTGCCACGCGGCGCGTTCTGGTTGGCCGGGGCTGCTGACCGAGCTGTTGACGTGGTGCTGACATGACACAACTTTTCTAAATTACGTTTTGACTCCCGATTTCCGATTTTCTTTTCAAAAATACTCCGAGAATCCAAATTTTCACCCATTTTTCCCAAAATCAATTTCAATTAAATCCAAATAATATTTTTACCCAATTTTATCATTATAATTATTTTTATTTTCATTAAATTAAATTAAATAAAAATTCAAATAAATAAATAATAAATAATAAAAATAAATAAATAAAATATTTATTTTTATTTAGGTGTTACATTTATCGAATATTTGATTTTTTTAATATTCGTGTTTTAAATCATTTTTTCGATATATTTAATTATAACTATTTTTTATTTAAAAATCCTTAGTATTTATAATACAACTTATTTGAAATGAAAAAAAAAAGTAAGAACTATAAATATATATATATATATATAGAGAGAGAGAGAGAGAGAGAGAGAGAGAGCTTAGGACAAATCAAGGGGGAGATATGGAGCTTACTTGGAAGTTGCGCGGAAGCTAAGGGCATATTTTGAGGAAATAGAAGAAGAGAGAGCTTAGAGAGGGAGATAGAACTTAAAGACACATTGTTTTCAAAATAAGGAGCTAATTGTTACATATATATATATATATATATATGAAGGTTGAGTTCTAAAAGAATTCTTAGTGCAATGGCTGACCATTATTCTTTGACTTGATAATTAGTACTTTCATTTATTCATGTATAAGATGTAAATATGATTCAAAAAAATTTTTATTTGTCTCATGGGAAGTCGAACTCACGAATTTAAACTTTAAAAAAAAAAAGTACTTCTGCTGCTTAAATATATATGTATTTATAATAATAATATTATTAGTATTAGTATACAATATTATCTAATTATTTAAATATATATTTTTATATCTAAAATCATACATGTATCTGAAGAAATTTTACTATTTTAAATGTGGGTGAACATAATTTTATTTTTTCCAAAGAGAATATTATTTATAAGTTTTTGGTATTAAATAAATTTATATATTCCTTAGAAAAAAAAAAGTATTGATTTGGGCATGCAGGGGGGAAACTCCACCTCCCCATGTTAAAAAATTATTTTTTTAGAAAAAAAAAGATTAATAAAACGTCAAATTACAACTTCAATTTTTTTTTTTTAAAAAAAGAAGCAGTGAAATTAATGATTAAAAAATTGTTGTAAGGTCACAATCATCATAATTCACAACATCAAATTTATCACTAAATACTCACGGCATGAAAGCCGCAATACTTGACGTCCTAATTTCTAAGCGTTACTTTCTCTCGTCTGTTATCGAAAGCTACAACGTTTTTTGTCTTTAAAAAAATAGTTATTCTAATTTCAAATATAAATATTTAACTTAGACTATGAATATTTTTTGTCAAACTTTACTAATCTTTATGAATAAGATATTATATCATACAAGATGTAGAGAATTCATAAAAATATATTTGGATTCGAATGTAAATCAATCATCATGTACATATTAAATTAAATAGATTTAGGTCTAAAAAAAAAGTATATCTAAA